ATAATCTAAGAAATATATATATTTAATATATAACAAATATATATAATAAATTCTATTATTATATATATGTACCGTGTTCAATGTGTTCAATATAGCATTCAGTGTAATTTATATATCATTAATGTGAGAAAAAACACATTAAAAATGTTCGGGTTCCGATATAAATAAGCATAATATATAACAAATATATATAATAAATTCTATTATTATATATATGTACATTAATTTACGTGTTCAATATAGCATTCAGTGTAATTTATATATCATTAATGTGAGAAAAAACACATTAAAAATGTTCGGGTTCCGATATTGCATTTAAAAATAAGCATGAGAATGTTAAAGTAGTCACGTGGTTCGCTGCGCGTGTAGTCAAGATCATAGACATAGACTATAGACCATAATAAGTATATAGACAGTGCATCTAATATCTTAATCGTAAACGGCGTGTATTACATAATTAGAAAGAATTTAAGAAATGTATCTGATTCTTTTTTAACTTACTGTGATTTCTTCTACTCTTATATTCGAGAAAACTAGATTTGTCAAAACTCTATCTCTCTTTTTAACCTAGGCATAGTATCTCGGAACGCGCCCTCTATGTTTCTTATGATCTATGACTTATGGTCAGGGCGACCGAACGATAGATAAAATTCTTGCGTTGGCGTCACTGTTTTTCGGAAACGTACAGTTTGAAAAAAACTTGTAGCCGCGTAACGTACTTTTCGTACAGTTCAACATCGATCTTTCGGTAAGATTTTAGAATATTTTAATGCTTACGGCTTCGTAAAATCTTATGGATTGTCTCGAATTTTATCAGAATATAAGAAGAAAGAGATGTTAGTTGTGTTAATTATGCCGGAAAAGTATTGACCTTTTCATTTCATAATTGTATATAACGAGTGATAGAAACATCTACTTGTACGATTATGTTAGAAATCAACATAGCGACATGCTTCGTTTTACGGTTCTCAATATTTTAAATTAGTTATTCATTATATTTATTAAATTTTCAGAGTTCTATTGGATTAAAAGTTTCCGAATGGTACAGAAATACGAATTTCTCGAAACTTGGCGATCGGTTTGTTTCCGAAACGAGATAAATATTTGAATATTTCACTCGTCGATTTCATCACGCGAATGGTATGTATTTATTTGTATATATTTATTTGTGATATATATATATATATATTTTTATATACTAACTTATTTTTTCTTAAGATGTATGTATGTGTATGTGTATGTGTGTGTCGCGTTACATAAGTACGGGGGTCATCAATCAGAGCGGTGCGGGAACAGTTTAATATTAATCTTATAGCTCTGATCGGATCTACAAAAATTTTCTGATAATATATATATGTATATTTGTACGAACATTTTTATATACATCGCCGGGAATGTTATCAACTCTTAACTTTTTTTTGCGGCATCAATCTCTTGAAAATATCGAGATTGCTCAAAATGTCGCGTGAAGTAGCAATTCGGAATTTTGCGACGATCATTTTTGTTCAGTCGGATTGTTTGAATAAGAGGCGATATTGATATCTCACTCATCAATTGTAATGGTAGTCGTAAATAGAAGCGAGAATTTTCGGATCGCGAATACATAGAGTTTGCTGCGGGCTATTTTATCGGATATGCGTTGTATTGTTTTTTATTCAACCGATCACGATTTCCGCCACCGTACAGTCGATGGACACCTGCAATGCGTGCTTCCGGTTCCGCACATATATTATTATCATGCAGGTATAGCAGGACTGAAGGCTCGTTGATAGAACTTTTAGGAACAATGCAATTTAAGTCGTCATTTTTGTTGCTATACGTCTAATCTAAAAATAATTATATTACTGAATATATTGTTGAAATCTATTTAGATAGACCTTTGATTAGTTTATCCTTAATTATTTATTATAAATTTGTTTTTCGATTGTCATAGATCGGTTGATATCAGTTATTGAATATCATTTTTATCGGACAATAATTATCGTTGATGTAATGTAATATAAGTATCTACAATTATAATTATTATATATAGTAATTATTACGTGCAAATATTTTCATTCATTGTGTTATACGTATATAAAATCTTCCGAAATTTTTTCATATATTTTGATATATCTTTTAGTCATTTTGTGGAACTATTTTTAGCAAGAAAAGTCGAGAAAGATCATTTACTTGGTATTTTTCAATTTTTTCGCATATGTTTTTGTAATTAAAATTTGAATATGTAATAATATATATATATATTCAAAAATATAACAAATGAATTTACATAATATTAATTTAATGATAATTCTGTAGTTTTCGTTAAATCCTTAAGTTTCTCAATTTAATTTATTTCTTGATACAATCATTTAAAATACGAATAATTCATATATAGAATTCATATATATAATTATGTACAGATATATTGCAGTTTATTAGGACGATTAATACGATTATTTATGATGTTTGTTACAGAAATCTGCCAGTGTTTGACTAGTGTATGTGATAAACGGTCGAAAATATCGAGGAGCTTTCCTGTATTTTGGAGCTGACACGAGCGGAAGGTCCCCCGCATGTTCGGTGAGCACTGTGTTTGAGGTAAGTACTAATTATGAAGCATATATACTAGTGGGGCTGTCGTGTTCATGGGGCACGACGACCTCGTGCCTGATAGGCACTTGTGTTTCGTGTGAGTGGATAAAACACGATGTTACATATGTTCTGCCGAATATATTCTGCTTCGGTTTCGCAACTTATATTGTAATCGTGTTGATGCACAATTTATTATTTTATCTTCATTTATCACAGTATGAGAGAGATATTAATCGTATACACTTGGTTTGCAATAAGTTACGATAATCAAATACGTTATATCTAATTACATGAGAATATCTTGCTACATGCATTAACTATCAATGTAAAATATGACGTTGATCGCACTTATATATAATTATAGTACAAAAGAAAAATAAGATATTAAGCGTACATACCCCCTGGTGACCAGCAGTCTCAGGGCATCTATGTGACCTTCGAAGGCTGCCCATAATGTTGGGGTCATTCCTCCTTCATCTCGCGCGTTACAATCCTTTCTCGTAGCTTCTTTCAGAACGTCCAATGCTCCTTCTTGGGCGGCTCTTTGACAAAGAGAAGTCTATGTATTATATCGTTCTTTGTTCGATCTATCAAATGTTCTTAATTCAATTTCTTAAATTCGTGGTCATATTAAACGTCAAATAACGATACTTGTAGAAAATTATATTTGTTGATAAATGAAATGATATATATATATATATATATATACATATATACGTATAAATTGATGATTTTAAAAATTACAAACGTTATTTATCAACAGATATCATATCTTTAGTAAAATAATTCTTTAAAATACGGTGTCGTAAACTTCTGTTATGTCGTGCGATCTATCGCAGTATCTTATCTGATTTAAACCGTGTCGTTACTTTAATTATCGTCACGTTTCTTAAGGAAGAATCGCGGATTTTATCGTGAACTGAAAGTTCCGCGAAGTATGCATATCTATGTTTCTTATATATGTATATATAACATTTACAACTAATTATCCGCGGCATGTTTTGCTCGTGATATTTATTTATGAATTACAATTTAAATTGTTAATACACAATACACACAATACACAACACACGCAAAAATACGCGATTTGGGAGCATAATAGGCATTTTCAATTTGCCGATGTTGCATTTCAAAAACTATTTTAGCGCATCAGCGAGAAGGTATTATTTCCTGATACTTCATCAATTATGACTTCAACAATGTATGTCATAATATTAATGATCCCGGTTGCAATTAATTCTGAGCAATAAAAAGATATAATATGACGAGCTAAATTTATATATATAATATATCTTGATAGTATTTCTTTGATATTAATTCCTTAAAATAAATTATGAACGCTTAATAAGTACATATTTTCATATAAAAATTGTATACATTCCTATTATTAATTATCTTATTGTTAATCTATGTTATTTTGAAAGATCTAACAATTGAAGTTAATTTTTTACAAACTTTTTGAAGCTAAAGTTTAAGAAACAATGAAATAATAAAACCTTTTTTCACTTAATTTAAAGTAATTAATATAATATTCAGTTTTTAATATTCTCTCTATTCAAAAATTAAATATTGAAAATTTAGAAATTTTAAAAAAGACAGTTTTATAGACAAAAAGTATTGTTAAGAAAATATATCTCGAAATTCGATAAGACGTATTGTAAAGAATAATAACTTTTGGTGCCGTATATTGTTTGTAAAATTAGTAGATCAATTGTGGAGTGACGCACAGCACTGTTCGTTGCGAGTAAAAGTTGATAGAAATGCTTGGAATTTCTACAGATGATCTGAGCGATAAATTTCCGTGGTGAATGAAATAAGAGCTCTTCTCATACACACACACACACACACACATAAATTCCGCACGCGCTCTGCTGATGCACACGATGCTATTATAAACAGTCCATGATTACGATTATTCTGTACTTATAAAGATAACTACATATTCGAAATCTTTTATTTAATTAAGTATATCTTTATTTAATAAATCCCGTGTATTTGCGAGATTATTATCATTCTTTTACTTGTCGGATACTAATAAAGTTAAAGCATAATATATTAATTATCGTATTACCGAAACGTATCTCTATTTTAATAACTTATTATACACATCAGTTATATAAATATCAAGAGAGATACGATTTTTCTTAATATCTTCTTATTCCGCTCCAGTTGCTTATTACACCTTGACACAATTTTATCGCGATAGGCCTGATAAACCGATTATTATTGATCTTGCATAAATTATTTAATTTATTGTTTATGTACGTGTAAATTGCCAATTATATACAGTATGTGTGTGTGTCCGTATAAAAAAAAAATATTTTAAGATGTTACGTAAAATAAATTTTAACTCGTTTTTATTGCAAAAAATAACGCAACATACAAATAATCAAATTTTCACACAATTAACAAATTTTTAAATGTTATGCTGTCATATCCACATTTTTAATAGTCAAACAAAATGTTAAAAAATTATATTATATATTTTAAGTCCTATTTAATTTGCAAATTTTATCAATATTGCGTTTATGATTTTCGATGCACTTAATCGTTTTATTCTCTTTGTATTATTGAATCGTTTCGCGCGATCAGCCGTATATCAGACTCAGAGATTTTTTCAATCGCGAGGCGAGTACTCTTGTTCCACGACATTTCTCTTCACTTTCCGGACCTCAGGACAAGTCCTACGTGGAAGCGCGTGTAAAAACAGGATAATAAAAAGAGAGAGAGAGAGAGAAGAAAAAGCACATTCTCGATATGCAATTCTGCACAGATACACACATACATACACAAGATTCTTTGAAAAAAAAAAAAAAACGAAAGGAGATGCACTCACTTATGAAATCGCTCGGATGACATTTCGCGTACCGTTCGCTATTTCGCAGATCTGGCTATCCAGATAACATTGTTCGTAATTTACAAAAACGGTGCGTGGATTGCGTATTTTTCGCGAATCGAAAAAAACAGTATGACGATATGAAACAATATAGGATTGAGGGGAACCGCGTGCCAAGTATTGCGTCCGGCAATGTACTGTTCGAGCGAGCGGCAAGCGGCAAGTTACACCTGGGTCCCCCGCCAGACTGTGGCCTCCCTCTCGTTCACCATTCTTCGGCTATCACGTTTCGCTCTGCTGATCCAACAACTTTGCCTCTCGCTCGCGCGATACTCCAGACGATTTGCCACTTGTGCTGTTCGGAGTATCATCCGCCACCTGAAATTTCTTTCATGCAACTACATGAATCAATGAATGGGTTATTGTTAGATTCAAATTATTTGCACGAAAAAATTGTTATATTAATTTTTTTCTTATAAATTTTATGACTATGTACTAATAGAATATTTTTATACACTTTGCTAAAGCGTAACATATTTTTACATCTCTTGCAAAAAAAAAAAAAAAAAAAAGAATTGGTTAATACAAATGCTTCGCATAAATTATAAATATATTTCACCTTAAGATGATAACAAAAATTTAAAACAAAGCTGTTGTGCTTCGATGTTATAATTCATGTTGTGCTACATGTTATAATATATGCTTTTTATTATATATAAATATGAAAGCTTTTTAATTAAAAATAATTAAGCAGGAATCTCTATTTCTTTATGGTAGCAAACAAACAAATTTTTATAATCATATATTCGCTCCTATATGAGTGTTCTTTATAAACTAGCTGTTATTAACAGTAAATTGTGAATATTTAAAAAATTTGCATGGCTTTCTTTCTCTCTTTTTTTTATCTCTTATATATTAAATATACACATATTCTCTATCGTTACGATAATCTTGAAATTCAATAATTTTATGAAAAACAAAATTATTGAATTATATAACTGTTATATAATATGTACACAATTTTTTCATGATCACTCATGTTTGTTTTTTCATGCAGTTTATTTCCGATTTATTTATCCGCGTATATCGGGCGCTAAAATATTTATTTATCGCTTCACGTGTTTCGTATAGAAGGAGCAATGCATTAGAAGTGATCGCAGGTAAATTCTTTACCGACAAATTTAAAGTCCCATGTTATTAGTGATAGTAATTCTCTATAGATAGTGCCATATGTTCGTTTAATTATTCATTTCGTTTATTGTTTAAAATAAATGGGCGTTCAAATAAATTCTGTCAGTTTTAATTGTTAGTTTGAATTGCATACCTAAAAAAGTGCAATATATAATCTAAAATATTTTATATAAGATGCCCAAACAATTTGGAACCAAATTGATACAGCGTGTTAAGAAAGGCGTCGATTAAATTAAAAATGGAACCATACTCTTGCATACGCACGCGCAAAAATTTTGTATTAAAGAATTATAAAAGATTACACAATGATTTAATGACACAAATTTGTAATAATTAATATTAAATTCTCGGAAAACAATATGCATATATATATATATTTGAAAAAGACGCTGTTATTATTGGTCTAAGAATGTTTTTTTATTGATATGTTACAACAATTAGCATGCAAGAATTACATTGACTTAAAACTTTACACTGATGTTTATCTGTTTCAACATGCTATGCTCAAATAGTATGAAATATATATAAGAACTATAACTGTGATTGTGTGTGTGGCACTTTATACAAACAATTTTTAACTTCAAAATGATATATTGCTGCGAACAATGTCGTTAAATTCATCGAAAAAATTAAAATAATTTTAGTATTTGATTGTGTGTCGCAAGAAATTATTCAAGCTGTTTATACTTTCCATCAATGTATTAATTAAATTATCAAACTGAAAGTTGACATAAATTAATCTCTCATTCTTTTATAAAAATTGTTATCAAAATATTAAGAAGAATATTATCTTTTCTTAGACTATAAAGATTTGCGTAATGTTGATAATACACTTTGGAATGCTTTAGGCAGTAAGACTTATTAACAAAATTCTTCTTTAATACAATTGGGTTTAAAGAATTTAATTTTTGTCCATTGCGTATGCGCAAGGAAAAGTATATATTATTTTATTTTAAGAATATCTTTTCTCTCTTTATTAAATTTGACAATTTCTATTTTAGTCACTTGTTTATTTATTTTTTCAATTTCAAATAGCATTTCACTGATCAATGCACATTTGCTGGAAACATCACAATAGTGTTTCTTATTGAATTATATCTTGATCACAGTTCGATTATGTTTACTCTGTTAAATATGAGTTATACATTTTATTATATTTATATTTGCTGTGTAGAATAGTATCTGTTGATACAACTTAATATTTTATTAGGTAAAATTGCTATATATAAACTATTTTAACAAGGAATTAGAAAATTATGAAAGACATTACTTGATACATTAATTGTTATAGGTCTGGTAGAAAAATACCAGATTGTTTTAAGAGAAATACTACTATTTTTTATATTTATTGATATTGAATTTATTAATTTATTAATCAACAATATATTGCGTATAATGATTACATTTTTTTTTATTACATCATCTTTTTTTAAGATTGTTTTTTACGTTATTTACGAAATTATTACGTTTTTTATGAAAATTGATTGTTTTTTAAATAATGAATTTAAGGATTTAATAGATGTACTCAAGATCGTACTCAAATAATCTGAAATATACAAGTATAATCTTCGATTTTAAGTTTGGTTGCAGATTTGCCTATTTATTTAAATTATAGATATTTGAAAATAAAGCTTTATATTATAAAAACTAAGAATTTATTGTTCATCTAACAAAATTTAATTTAAAATTTTACTATCAACATTTAGTTTTGAATACTAAAATACTAAAAAGTTAAAAAAATTAAGAGATTTAGTACTTCAAATATTAAGTATTTATTAAAAAATGTGCGTTTAGAATTTTATTTTATAAATTTTTAAATTTTTTATAATGTATTAATTATATATATATATATATATA